ATTAGTGTTAACTTCGACAGGTACTAATAATAGAATCACGTAATTGTAATTAAGAATACCCTTAAACTTATATCAATAAAGATTTTAGCTTCGAAAATCTTTATTTCATCCAAAATTGTATAAAGTGATACTAAGGTTTTACTACATTAATTGTTCTTACCTCTTGGGCAATGATCTTAACCTTGGCAAGCTTATCCTTTGCAGCTTCTAAACCAGCACCCCAAATGGTCTTTACCCACTCAGCAAATCTGAAGAATTTTTCTTTGATTTGGAGACCCAAGTCCTTAAAGAAGTTCTTAATCTTTTCCCAAAGTTCAACGATGGAATATCGACCTTCGATGCCCAGAATTGTATCTATTAATCCTTTCAACGCATCGAGTCCCCTATCCCTGATGATCTCAAGAAGTTTTCTCACAAGCTTGAGACAAAACGATAATTAATATATTAAAGTCACATATCAATATTTAACTGTTGAATAATGATAAAGTTAAGTGTTTCTCCTCATTATGAGAGTTATATTTTTACTGAATCTGCTGACATTAAAATGAAATAGTTTTCTGAACTAATCGACATAATTCTATAAATTTAAAAACTAGTTTCAATATCTCTATTATATTATTAAATGATAATGAGCTAAAGTTTGCATTTTTTACTCTGTAATTTAATCTTAGAATGAACTATTGATTAATTCGACATAAAAGTTTACTTAAAATCTTATTTACTTTGTTTTTGTGACATGAAGAAAATCTTATTTCACCCTGTAGGGATGTCTTTTTTTATTCACTATTGTTGAAAACAAATAACACAAAAGGAAACTCACTTCAGACTTATCTCCCAGCTTTTCACGGATGTAATTCGTGATCGCTTCTATGTCAACTTTCTCCATGATCTATGAAGAAATAAGAATTTTGTAAAGCAGCAAACAAGGGAAAAAAGAATACCAAATATGCTTTGTATAAATCTAATTCTGAGTTCAGGAATATAGAAAATATCGGACCTTGTCTCTTATCCTGATGAGGATGGCCCTGACGTCCAAACCTTCAAGTAAATCGTTATTATTTTCCTTTCTTCAGGCTAAAGAAATAACTGGACAGTTGAAAGACCTTGGAATTGAGGTTGGAGGTAAAACTATAGAGCTCCTGAACCGACTGAAGGATAAAGTAAAAGATTGGCTGAAAGGACTTCTGGAAAAACTTGGAATTGGCAAGAGGAACATTTTGGACATTCTAGTGAGTTTTTTATTAATTGTAATGAATAATAATATTTAGAAGAATCAAAATATATGTAAAATATTTTAATACATTCAGCAAGTTTTTACCTTATCCAATAGATCTTGGCTCACTTTGTGTCCATGATCAACAGCATCCTTGACTTTTTGCAATATTTGGTCCAATGTTTCTTTCAGAGTCTTACCCAGTTCCGTCTTAATATCCTCTTCAACTCTACGGTACACACAAACAGATTAAATACACTTTAAGATATCATAAAGACTATTTAATCTTAATTTTTAACTCTTTGTGTAATTAAACAAGGATACTTTTGTTCCCGTTGGGAAAGAGGTAGTTACGTTTATGAACCCAAAGCGCTAAAAATCCAATTCGATTCTTTACGATGTACATATTAGATAGGCTAATGTGGTTTTGCTCGAAAAAGACAAACAAACTACACAAGAATTTCATATCACTTTCTTTTTAAAAAGGCACGAATTTCGAAATTAATTTCTCCCTTGAAATCTTTATTTAATGAGATGGTAAATGAAGAC